GTGGTCACTGTACAGTGGGTGGGGAGATCAGCAAATACTTTGTCAGATGTGTTAGCTAAGCAAGGGGTAAATAGGGAAGAATTATTTTGGGCTCAGTTGTGATTATTGTTTTTCTTTCCTACTTTACTTGTAAGACTCAAGGAGGGGTTGCAGCTCGTGCCTCTCGTTGGGATGATGTATGAACTCACTCTAAAGTTGCTTCTGAATCAATAAACTTATTATTATTCATCAAAAAAAAAATACATATATGTTCAAGGAACAGAAGAGTAGAAATTGTTTGCAGAGAGTCAATTGAAGGCTGTACTCTTCTAATTCTATTATTTAGGAGATCTGCTAGATCAAAAGTATATTAGCCTAACCCTTTATCTGCTTGACCTATTTTGGCCCATTTCCATACTTTTTTCTGGTCATCCACTAGAAGTATTACAATTTGTCTTGATGTGTTAAGGACATTCTACATTTTGGATTTATAATTTGTAATATAATTTGAATCATGAACCTATTAGTTTATATTGAAAGTGATTGATTGACTGCAGATGTAGAAAATTGGGTAGAAGTGGAAGACATGCTGAAGAGCACTCACATATAATGGGATGATCATGGAGTGGTTGATAACTAAGATTTGTTGAAGAGCACTCACATGAAACAGAGATGGAAGGTAACATATGTTCGAATAAGGAAGACGTACAAAAGGGGGATAAGGAGTCATTGGGGAAGCAAGATATTGATGCCTCATTGGTAGACAGACATGAAGCATTTGGACTGGAAGATTTAAGTGCTGACAGTGTGATTGCAGAGATAGGTTAAAAGCTGGACATCACATAGATAGCTACTGAATTGGTGTCAGGCATGTCAAATCTCCAAGATGTGGGAGCACATAGAGCAGATGCTATAGTGGAACTGTCAATGATAGTCAAGTGAAAAGGGTTCACACTTATCCAAAAAAATGAAAATGGTTTCTTGCTTTGAGGTTGTTATAAGATATTTGGGGTTGACTTGGGTAGGAGAAGGAGCTTTTCCTAGAGAGTTGTCTTAGAGCCTGAATGAAGTGATGAACTAATAATTCTGCTGGAGGGGATATTCATGTTTACATGGGGAAAAGAAAGAGACAGGATCAACAGAACCTAATTCATATTACAAAAATTACTCCAGGCTAAAGGTGGTTTGGCTTATCCACTTATGTGGTGTTGGGCCATACAAGAAGGTTATAAGAAGAAGAGGGTTAAGAATAATTGTCACTGGAATGAAGTTGCTAAGATCGTTTGGTTGAGCTTGAGTGTAGCCAATGACACTTCTCTGCAAAACAAAGGTGGCAGTTTTAATCGAACTATAGATGAATTTTAAAAGCATGAATCACATCAAGGGGAAACACTTAGATATTATCAAGACACAACTATATGTTTATATGGCCATTTAACAGAAGCCTCAACAGATAAGTTACAGGATCTGCATAATTTATCAATGATAAATGATTTGAAGAAAAATTATAGAATACTGTTAGTCAATGAAAAGGTGGATGTAGGGCTCAACATGAATGAACATGAGCTAGAAGGTGTCAAAATTTAGAGGAAAATGAAAAGGAAGAAAATGTAATATAAATTGATGAAGTATATAAAGTAGATAAGAAGGTAGATTTAAATAGAGTGGTGGAAAAGGAGGTGAAGGTTAGCATGAAGCTGAGATTGTTGTTTTAAGGAGGAGAAGACTTTGTTAGAAAAAGCTTTTCTGGAGTTAGAGGAGAAAGGAAGAAGTAAAAGTGTTTAGGAGAAAGGAAGGGGTAAATGGGATTTGGCTGTTCAAAAAAGAATGAAGAACCTTGTAATCAGAGTGGTTGTAAAATAAGAGCACAAGATTGAAAGTCCTCTCACTAAACCTTGGTGACTAGTATGTATAAAATCCTAGCTAAAGTCCTCTCACTAAGATTAAAAGTAGCCCTCCCAAATATGATCTCTCAATCTCAAGGAGCTTTCATTCAAGGGAGACAAATTACAAACTAAATACTGATAGCAAATGAATGTGTGGAGGATTTTAAGAGAAGGGGGAAAGGAGGCTCTGTGTGTAAGTTAGATCTGGAGAAGGCTTATGATACGGTGGATTGGGTATTCCTTTTGGGAGTCTTGAAGTGTTATGGTTTTGGGGAAAGATGGTGCAGCTGGATTGTAGGGTGCCTGAAAACTTGTCATTATTCAGTGCTAGTGAATGGTGTGGTAAGGGAGTTTTTCCCAGCTACAAGGTGACTAAGACAAGGGGACCCCCTCTCCCCCTTTCTTTTTACTCTCATAGCGGATGTCTTTAGAAGAATTCTCCAAAGGGCGGACAAGTTGGGCTTTTTTAGAGGTTGGAGAGTGGGTAGGAGTGATACAGTAGTGACTCACTTACAATTTGCGGATGATACAATCATTTTCTGTGAGGGTGGAGATCCAAGGAATGCAAGGCACTTGAAGGAGGTGATCAAGTTGTTTGAACATATCTCCAAGATAAATATCAATTTTGAGAAGAGCTGTGTGGTAGGGGTAAATTTGAGGCAGGAAGAAGTGATTGCATTTATTGAGTCCCTAGGTTGTGCTATTGAAACCTGGCCTTTGAAGTATCTTGGCTTGCCTTTAGGGGATAATCCAAGAGAATCTAGGTTTTGGAACCCAGTTGTGGAGAGGTGTACCAAGAGACTGGCAGCTTGCAAGAGAAATTATATCTCGTTGGGATACAAAATTACTTTGATAAAGTCCACTCTAGCGAATTTGCCAGTCTACTACTTGTTGGTTTTTAGGATGCCTAGAAGGGAAGTGCAAAAATCAGAAAAGCTGATGAGGGATTTCCTTTGGGAGCCTAGGGAAGGTAGAAAGGGTCACTTGGTCAGGTGGGAGGTAGTGTGTCAGAGTAAAGAACGAGGAGGTTTAGGGTTAGGAAATCTAGGTAAGAAAAATACTTCCCTGCTAGGTAAGTGGTTGTGGAGATGGCCGTTGGAGAGGGCACAATTGTGGCAAGAAGTGATAGGCAGTATTCACGGTGGTGCAGGCAATGGTTGGGATGCTAGGGTTTCTTCGAGGGCTACTTTGGATTCTCCATGGAGATCCATTTACGGAGTGCTCCCTCAGTTTCTTAGCCTTATCGGGTATGATGTTTGCTTTGGAGACAAGGTTTTATTTTGGGAGGATCTTTGGATTGGTGACTCAACCCTTAAAGACCTCTATCCTTCTCTTTATTCCCTTTCGTTGCTTAAAAAAGAACCTGTACATCGGTTTGTGTCCTATTCTCAGTTGTCTGGGG